TGTGTGTGTGTGTGTGTGTGTGTGTGTGTGTGTGTGTGTGTGTGTATGTGTGTATGTGTGTCTGTTATTTGTGCATATGGTTAGGGAGGAGGTGGGGAGCGTGAGGAACAAAAGGGGTCTGGGGGTCGGTCAGCGTCTGTGGTGTAGCGATCAGTCGCTTAGCTGTCGCATTTAGAAGACCCAAGTCCGCTTCCTGTTTAGAGAAAAGGAAAAGTTTAATCGAACATTGTGGTCTTTCTGCCTGGGACATTGTATCCCTTTCAACCTGCAGTGGCCATGACAGACATGTTCAATCCTGCCTTCTAAATTTCTATTTATCTAAATTGTCGATGGGGGCATAAATACACTTGCATAAGAAAAATGCGAGGGGATTGAAGGGGTGAGTGGTGAGGGTGAATATACCAAACGTAGACAATGAGGTAGGAGAGATGAAGAGGTGTGAGGAGTGAGGGGTGGGAGGAGGGGGCAGGAAATACTGAACGTAGCCTTTTTTTGCAACCGCTTGCACTAAATGATTAATTCCATCGTTTAAGGCAACAAACATCCCTTGTTCCATCAAATAAAAACATCAGTCAGAAGTAAAAGACCTAGGCTTCTGATCTGTAACAAAGAAAGATACAGAAGGTAATTTTTACCATCATCCATAAAAATTCTTCCATCTTAACCATCTTATTATAAGTATTCATATGACCTTATAGAATGTATCAGAATGACATTGGGTATGTATCTAGCTTAAGATTATTATTTATATTACATTGCAGTTCATTTATATTATGCATGTGACTGTAAGCCTGAGTGTGTGTACATGTGTGTGTGTGTGTGTGTGTGTATATGTGTGTGAGTGTGTGTGTGTGTGTGTGTGTGTGTGTGTGTGTGTGTGTGTGTACATGGTAAAACACCAAACCAATGTACCAGGATTTGGACAATAGAGATGTATCTTATCTTATCTTATCGTATTCGTGTTACGCAAACTGGCCGTAAAGAAGGCTGAGACAGTGAGCAGGATCGAGTAGGACAGAAGGGATTCGAATCTTTTTTTTTGTCCAGGGATATCACCACACCGTCAAATTTTAAGATTCTCATATCTTCAATAAACATATTATTATGTCTGTCTTAAGGTAGTATTTTATTGTTAAATTTTGAACGATGATATTGATGATGATGATGATGATGATGATGATGATGATGATGATGAGGATGGTGATGATGATGATGATGATGATGATGATGATGATGATGATGATGATGATGATGATGATGATGATGATGATGATGATGATGAACTTATA